GACGTCATCTCCTACTTCTGTGGCTTGTACTCGTCTCTCAATCTGAGGCTCTTTCTCTCCAGTCTTCAATCTCTTTGGTTCTGAGCTTTCACCTTCACTCCCATGCACTGTTTTGCTTGGAGAGAATTTCATTCTCTTTGGATCTCCTTCTCCACCTTCCATAGTGAAGCCACTCTTCTGTGCTGGGCTCCTCGGTGTAGTTGCCGGTGCCGACGGTCCTGCTTGATTATGTGCTTCATCCACCATATTGGGATCTTTGAGTTTCATCACTGGCAAAGTGATCTTCTCTTCAGCATAGTCCACCTTCTTGTCTTCTGCAAGCTTTTGCTCTTCACTCAACTCCTTAGGTGTCTCCGTCTTCTTCTCTTCAGCATTTACGAGATCTTTCACCTCCTCCAGTTTCCCGGCGTAGGATCTCGAGAAAGCAATGACCTCCTTTGCATCTTCATCGTATGGAGCAACTCGACCGCCAAGCGAAGGAAGACCTAACAAGGGACCATGGTTGCCACTCTCTTGGACTTGGTATTCCCAGGAGTATGCCGTGAAGCCTTGATAGCATGCAATGTACTTTGCGCTTGCGCTGCCACCCTCCGAATCGACTTGCTGAGAAAGACTCTATTGCCATCTCCAATAACCCAGGCATCTTGCACTTCTGTCTTGCCTAAGCAAATGCCCACTTTCCACTTCGGATCTGCCTTGAAGCCCTGCTTCTACTTGGAGTAGGCAAAGACCGCCTCTCCAAATGGGCACATCTTTCCATCATAGGCTTTGCCATGGGTCAACTCGAAACTCGTAGTTCCTCTCAGAACTTGATACCTGTTCAAGGTCCAAGCTGCATGTCTACATGCCCAAGACCACAGAGGATGTTGATGTTGGAACCGAAGTCCAATCTTCTCCGCCCGGCTTTCCATCATTGATGCTGCCAAGCCTCGAACTCTCTGAACTGCATTCTCAGCCAAGGAATTTCCAGCTCAATCATACAACTTCGTAGTCCTCATGGTGGTCTTCAACCCCATAGCTGTTCTCGAAGCCACTAGGAGGCGTACAATCTGTCGGGCTGTGGGCTCGTTGTCACAGTAATACTGCACTGCTTCATGCCCCAGAATCTGAGTGAACGCAAGAAGCTCGTGGGTGATGAGGTTCATTTGGTTCTTCGATTTCAAGGGCAACCCTAGCAATGAGCCCGTTTCTGAGCACACTGCAACCATCAGTAATGCACCACTTTCATCATCTTAGCAGCATCCTCCTCCTCTGCTCCAAGAGCTCCTGAACCCTTGGCCTTCACCTTGCAGAAGTCGAAAGAGACTGTCGGGCATCCTTGGTCATGGGACTTGCCAGTCCGCCTGCGCTGATCAGGCCTGGCTCGATGCTTGATGCATGAAGGACACCATGGTGCATATGGAACGTGTGTAAGTTCAAGCGCCTTTCTCTCAGCTTCTGTGGGAACCTTCGCTGTCACCTGCTCCAAGGGAATCCTTTGGTTCATCGCCTGTCCTCTTGCTGCTAGGTCTCTTGCCATCATCAGCTCCAAAGCTCCTTGATGAGCTACCAGGCGACTGAAGCATTTTCTCTCTCCACCACTCTGCCCAATTTGGTAAAAAGCACACGCTGCTCTCAAACTCCGGAGAGGACTGTCAACAGTCAATGGGATCTCATTCACGCGAATCTCTTCTGGAAGGGCCACACCAATCTCATACCGAACCATCTGTTGTTCCAAGTCACGTCCTGGGTCATGACCTTCTTCACCCCCAGGAATCTCCATGCCCCCAAGCTCTTCTGTCTCTTCATCTTGAGCCTGAGGAATAGCCAGCTCTTCTATCGCCGGCTTGGGACCAAGCTGAATGGCCTCGTCAATCTCAAAGCCAAACTTCTCTGGGACTGTATCATCAGCAGCCACAAACATCATCACCTTGCTGAGACATCCCTGTGTGTATTACCCAGGTGGGGTTATGTCCCCCATTTTCTAGCACCTAAATTGCGGGACATGGATCTGACACTGGAAATGAGCGTGCACCCCACTAGAAAATAGAAGGACATAGATTCCAAAGGCTAACAGTAAAAAAACAAAGACTCACTAGAAAGTGGAAAAATGACATATCAAAGATGTTTATGTTTGTGGCCTTCAAGGTCATGATCCCTATTTTGGCTTCATCAACATTGCAATTTATAGTAAATGGGTGGTTTTGTTCCAAATCGCCAAATATAGGTTACTAGAAAAAACACCATTTTCTAGTGGCCATAAGGCCCAGCATTATCCAGTGAAAATGCGCACAGGGATGCTGAGACCTAATTCTCGAAGCTCCTCGATCTCATCTTCTTGCTCCTCCAGCCCGTCAATGGGCTCTGCCATCTCCACAAGCTCCCAAGCGCCTTGCCTTTCCACCAAGGTCGTTCTGCGCATTCCTTCTCCCTGTTCCCTAACTCCAGGAATGAATTGTGGACTTTGGAATCTTGTGCTGAGGTGCAAGCCAACCCAACACTCATCTTTTCTCTTCCAACCATAGCCACTGCCAGCTAGGCTCATCAACTCCTCATTCAACCTGACTGCCAACGTGCGAGCCACTAATAGGCTCAGTGATGACTCGAACCGAAGCTTCCACCACCAAACTCTGGTTCTGAAACGCTAAAGGCACTTCCAGGTTCCCATTTCATAGGCACTTGCGTTGCCCATCTATCGACCATGCAGCCACTTTTCATCAAGCGGCCAAAAGACAAGATGGGTTGGTTCACCATATCGCTGAAGGTCACCTTCTCTTTCAAGACCACAGATTGACCTGCAGACGTCATCAACACGATAGTGCTGCTCCAACCACTTGATCACCTCCTCTTGCGCTTCCCATGAGCTTTCCGGGAAAGATCGAGGCGTCTGCCCCTGAATCCACAATCACCTTCAGTGTTTGCACCTCTTCACTCATTCCATCAACTTCATGGGCTTCCTCCTCATCGTCGGTCTCTGCAATGGTGTTGACCATGTAGCTGTCACATTCATCCTCTTCATCTGAGGCAATGTTGAAAAATTCAACTTGACTCGCCACTCGAATTGAACCAGCTTCACTCCCTTCTCTCAAGTCGAAGATCACTGGTTGTGAAACACGCCTGATGTTCTTGGCGCCTGGATTGGAATCACCACCTCCTCCACTTGTTGCGCTTGTTGTCAAAGTGCCTCACTCTCCAACAATCTCGCGACATATGCCCTGGTTTGCCGCAGGTCCAACACACTTCATTGGAACTCTTGCCCTTTCCACCTTTGTTGTCCTTTCCAACTCCTTTGCCTTTGCCATCTTTGCCGCTTGGCTTGCCACCTTTTCCTTTTCCTTTAAATCTGTCATCTTTGCCCTTTGACTTCCCCTTGCTGTCTTTCGTCTTCCCTTTACCCTTCTTCCCATCTCTTTTGATGCGGTCGATCTCCATGGGAATAGGGCCATTGGGATCTGTCAAACTGGTCATTGGGCTCATTCCGGAGAAAGTCAGGGCTCCAGATTCATTCCGCTTGGTGGTAGCCGTGTCGAAGGCGATGATGGCCTCCCTGATCTTACTGTACGAGCTTCCTTCATTCAAAGTCAGATTCAAATGTGTTTTCATCTGACCAGAAACTGCCCTGAGGAGAACTGCCGATTTCATGTCTGGCGACAACTTCCCTCCAAGGCGCTCGTACTGCATGTAGTGTTCTTCTAGCTTGAGGATCTGAGGCAACAAGGAGCTCTTCATGTTAAAGCTTGGATAGGACATTATCCCTTGCAGAAGGTTCATCGTCCTGTTCCTGGCTTGGGGCTGGCAATTCATCAGGAACTGTCGAAGTGCTTCCATGCCATTGAACTTCGGCACATTCTTGATGACCCCTGTCAACCGTCCCTGCACGAGGCTTCCCAACAAACTATACAGAAACCTGCTTCTTTGCTGTTCGCCTTCGTCCAACAATTCCCAGTCTACTTCTGTTGTCAAATTGTATTCCAGCTTCTCCAACTCATCTTGGAATGCACAATCTACAACAACCAGGTATTGCTTGACCGTCCAGTACCAATCCCTCCATTGCAGAACCTCCTGTTCCCTATCTGTCGGATTGAAGGTACCAGGTCGTGGGATCAGTTTTGCCAGGTCTCGTTTCAAAATCCCTTCTGCTACTGCACCCCCTGCACTCACTCCAGCTCCTCCGCTAGATGCAGCCGCTTGAGCTGCTTGAGCCGCTGCATTTGCTGCAGCCATGACCGCTTGGGCCAAACCAGCCATCTCTGGCTCATCCATCCCGCTGCTCCCAGCTTCTCCAGGTAGCCTCAAGCAGTGATTGCGAGATCACTGCCACACCAGTTGCATGGGATGCTCGGCGGGGTCGAGGTGAAAAAGGCCTAGGAGCTCCAGTTGGCAAAATGCCAACCTTCCCAGCTCCGCTACCATGCGAGCTGAACTTTTGACCGCGAAAGGCCTGCAGTAAGTTAGCTGTACATGTCGTGTCCTATGGAGTGACTTGTATTTCGCAAAAAGTAATCCGAAGCTCCAGCACAGAACAGCAGGCAAAGACCAATCCAGGAGGGATTGAGGTGCCAGTTTGTTGCTCACTTGCTCCATCGACAATTTTGGGACCATTTCGCAAATGCGAAATTCAAACCGGCAGATTCAGTATAGGCGTTTCAAATCAGCCCTGCAAACGAAGTTGTATGATAGGTGTAGCCTGCACCCCATGAATTTGTTCGACCACGTTGGCACAAGAATTGCATGAAATGGCGGGGCACTCTCCCAACACAATTCGCATCATTGGCGAAATGTGTTCACTTTGGAATGGAGAGTTGTGAAAGTTGAGCGCGCTTCATCAAACAAACAATGGCCTGAAACAGCGATTGCTTTAGCATTTGGAGCCATACTCGAACTCAACTTAGTGCTTCGGGGGCGGTGAGAAGGGAAGATCAGCTCCAAGGTGGGGCATTCAAAACCGTCAAACGCAGTTATAGCAGAGTTTTGTCTCTACTACAATACACTGTAGCCTGCTATGGACTACCCTTGTTCAGCTATGCGGAGGTCCAAACAGCTTCGGCTGGACTGTCCGGTTTGCGCCTTCCAAGCGGCGGAGTGCTGATTGAACACTTGGCACCAATAGTTCCATGTGTATATAGTATTGTGATGTATTTTGTCCAAAAAATCTGATAGTTGGATGCAGAATACGTGTTGGGTGTTGGAAAACGTGGACAAACCAATCCAAAGCCGTTGCAAATCAAGCCTCTTGTAATTGTACGGAAAATGCACAAACAAACAAATTTCCTATCCTGTGTGAAGCACACTTGCGAGCTGCCACCACCAGGCTGAGGCCTCAGTACAGCAGTTTAGACCAACCAGCGAACAATCTTCAGACCTTCTTCTCGCTTAAACTTTGCTGGCGTGTCATTGCGCATTGCCGCATCACTTGTCACACGCAAGGTTTCAAAGCCTGTTTCTTGATGTTGCTTTTTGTGCAATTATTGCATACTTTAGCCACTTGTGTTGAGTCCTCAGTGTTCTGCCAACGTAACAGCAAAGCACTCCCAGCCCACGAAATTATTATATAACTCGTAGTCGCCCACCCGGCTAGTTGAATCAGGCTGGATCAGGAGGACAGGAATGAGTGTCCATTCAGTTATGGTCTTAGTTATCATTCTGATTCGGGGGCCCATCCTGCCTTAGCAGCTTAGCAATAGTGCAGCGATTCAACGCGTTCATTTCATTCCAGCATCAATTGCAATGACTCGACTAACAATGCATATTCAGTTGTCCCTAAACGAGCGATAGGATGGGAGTTACGCCGAGGTCAGAACTTGCAAAGCCACCTGCAAAGGAGAGCAGAAGGTCCACGGTATGGAACTCAAACTCCTGCTTTCACCAGCAACAGCAAATCGATGCTATTCCATGCCATATCTGACAACAACTATGATTCTGATGTGTGGTCGACGAAAAAATCAGGCGAAGCAGACTCAGATCAAACAGTCAAGCAAAGCACTGTTATATCGGTTCCAGGTCTGTCCCTGTTTGCGCTAAGGCGTTGTCACTCCTCAAAGGCGGCGTGCTACTTATGCTTCTCACGCGTTTAGAAGCGAAACTTGAGGGTCAGAGGCATTTGTCATTTTCCTCCGAAACACCATCGCGGTAATCAAACTGAGTCACAGCAGTCGCAAGGGGTCACCAAGGTCTAACCGCACCAACAATGGCCTCCAAGCTAGAAGCGATGGCCTCCAACCTAATAGCTATGGCCTCCGACCTAATAACGATGGCCTCCAGCAAGAGATTCATTGAAATCATGATTGCAGTTCGTGCTGGCTGCGTCAGTTTGGTAGCACTGAGTCTGCTTGAGCTCGCAGCCTTTGAGATACGCCACTGATTGCTGCAGTTTTGACTGTGGCGCTTGCACCAGCTCGACAACTGGTAATTATATAGAAATACTGAGAGGAATATAGAGGAAGATGAAAGAAAGTGCAGGAGAGCGAAAGCAAAGCAGAGTGGAGTAGTTGGAAACTAAGGATTTGAAAGAAACATGGAGAAAAAGCTGAATACAGTTATTTTTTTCAATGAAGTAGGAATAGGAATGAGTAGAAATATGTAAGTAGGGTAAACGGTGAGAAATGAATACATAGATCTCTCCTTCATTTTCTCGAATGTGTCATAGGCGGCAGTCACCTCAACAAAACGATCACTGTGATTCTGTTCTCAACTCACAATCAGGGTCAGAGCCAGTGCCAGTTGTTGGGCTGAGTTTGTTGCCTCTTTCAGTTGGCGGACCTGAGCATGTTCGAGGATTGCCACACTGTTTATGAATTGTGAACCATACAATATTAATCAATATTACAATCTGTACTGCCTCAGTGCCTCAAGTGTCAATCAAAGTTCGGAACGGAGCTCACTTCCATAGAACCGACCTTCCCAGCAGGGTCACGCCATGCATAAGTTGGAAGGTATGTCACGGCGTGAGAAAAATGTTGCCCCCCCTGTGGATCCGGCCGGGGAAGTTGGAGGTTGCAAAGTTGGTGCCAATGTCGGCTGTGTGAAAGACGGCAGCACCGGAGGTGGCAGTGTTGGCGGCGGCAGCGTTGGTGGTAATTGTGGAGGAGACTGAGGTGGCAATGTTGGGGGAGGAAGTGTCGGCGGCATAACATCTTTCAGGCGCTCCGTTGTCGTTGTTTCAGCTTCTGGCTCGGGCCTGAGCAAAGTGTCTTGCCACACATGTATAAATATTTGTATATATTTTTTAATGTCTAAATACATAATTATACTGTACATAATAAGTGATACAGTACAGTTTGCGGAGAACCTTGTCTGACAACTCACTGGGTCAAGAATTCTTTCTCAGCAGCTCGCGATAGCACATTCTCACGCTCATCCGTTAAGTGCAGGTATCGGCGCCGTCGACGCTTGCCGCCTTCAAAGTACGTGTTCACTCCAAATCCCAGACACAAAAATACAAGTAGTCAGCAAAAACAATCAAAATTTCTGCGTGTTAATTTTCTCCGTGTTTTTTGTTTTCAGAATTTGCTTCGATTTAAAACTGCCTCGACCACAGGTTTTGCTGCACGCAGACCAGTCCTGTGTGTCCAAAGTATACTACCATGCAATGTGTTCAAAAAAACTAGAGTTGTCCTCCCAAGTTGCCCATGTGCAATAGAGATTGCCTTGACAAATTTTTCCTTCCAATCAAAACAGTTGCTACAAGTACCGCCCACTGTCATTGATGATGTTGATGGCATGTTTTTTTTGCACATTGTTGCCTTTGACTCAAGACTTTCAAGTGGAGGTGCAGCAAAAAATCGTTGCGAAACAATATCCGTTGCAAGCAAGGGACCGCTGCATTCTCTCGGACATTTGTCAACCTGTTGGAGGCAATCAATGACAAACGCGCGCACAAGCTCCCCAAAAATAACAGTTCAAACACAATATTGACGGCACTGGCACCAGGCAATACTGGCACACCAGCCTCTCTGATCTCCATTGGATCGCATGGTCTGCCGCCGTTGGATGCGTAGCCTTCGCGCACGAATCAACTGCAGTTCAAAGATTTTGGTGACAACGCAGGGGAGGGCATGCTTTGAAGCATCGCGAATACAACTCCAATTGCCACTCGTTGACATCCAAGAACGCTAGAGAGTGCGTAGGCTGGGTTTTTGTGGTGCTCCGCGTTTGGGAGGAAAGCCTGGTTGAACGAAGAATTTGGACTCCCTCAGCATTGCGTGATGCCGAGGTCACAAAAGCCAAAAGTTGATGCTGCCCATTCTACCCACAGGCTGATGCTCAGCAAGGCGATCTGCTCACCTTAACCTTGAGGTCTTGAGGCCTCTGTCAAGTTTCCCCCCAGAGCTAACAAAACGGCTGCCGCGGGACATAATCGTTTCTTGTTGGGAGATAAGGCCCTGCCATTTTGCACTTGAAGCACGTCAAGACTAAGCTATAGTACTCAGGCTCTCCGCGGGCAAGAGAGAACTCCATTGGCCACGAGCTTGGAACAACGCGCCACACGCGCGCCCCCCGAAAACACTCTTGCATATTCGCGCACTGACACACCCTGCACGGTCAGCGTCTGACGACATATTCAAAAGGTTGCAGCCACGCAGTGCGCGGTCGATTACCAACGCATTCACGCACCGCGGAGTTGGACTTTGCGGTTTTGAGCAGGTGGGCGGGTCGCAGTTCGCAGGTCAGGCCTGTCTGGCGCCAAAAGCGCAGCCCGCATTGTTATCGACTGGTACACGCTTGCATCCACGTAGTAGCCCTTCTTGCGTTGGCTTGGCCAATGGTGTCTTAAACGGTCCACTCTGCATGTCTTAAATCTGCCTCCCACAAGACTCCTTCATGTGACCTATCCCTCCACACTGTTGGCTAGCTTGCGGCGACCCAATTGGACCGAGAATTCCTCGATCCACGACTTGCCATCGTGTCATAGCAGGTTCGTAAAGCCCTTTCACACGTCATCATAACTGCCATTCGTTGTGAAGTCGTCGAGGCACACTTCAGATCGAAGTTCTTGACCCGGGTGAGACTGATGGCAATTAAATACAAGGGCGTGGCATGGCATGGCCTTCCTTGCAAAAATCCAAGTTTCTTGGTGAACTCAGCAGCGGTCAATTCCCTAAATCATTGGCGCATCTCCCGCCATAGTAGAGGCTCCTCACAAATCGCCACCGTCTTGGCTTCCCCCGCTGGGGGGTTCAACATAAACCTCCCTGGTCACCTTTGAATAAAAGCGCGCTCTCTTGACATCTAGGTACCCCACATAGGATTGCCTAAATTTTTTGTCCCCCTCTTCTAGAGGAAGGCTATCGCTTACAGCGGGTTTACAGCGAACGTGAAGAGCGACTTTGAAGCTGCTAAACTAAAACGTTTTACTCCTGGTGGGCGGTTGCTTTCACGCAGGTGGATGAACTCATTTGCTTCCACCTCATTGGGGCAAGCCAGCAGTAGTTTCTCCTGACTCTACTCTCATGTTTTGCAACTCTTGGGTTCTCTTTTTCACCTTGGAGCGTCTTGTCTTCGGTTGGCGCTGGGGACAGTAAGGCAGATTGGCGCTGGGGACAGTAAGGCACATCTGAAGTTCAAGTCCTTGCGCCGGTTTTGCCTTTGCATCGCATGGTGTGGACAGCATACCTACAATCTCCTCAATGGTAATGCCTCGGCCACCAATAAACATTCCTTTCAACCTTGAATCTTGTCTCCTGGTTTCGGTGTTTCGACTGTTTACCCACATGGTGGAATTGCTACTTTCCTCTTTACCACCAAGTCTTGAATACGGTGTTAAGTGTAAAGAGGAACCAAGTGTAAACAGCTTTGGACCAAATCAAAACTTGCAATTTGTCTGGAAGCAGTTCACCACAGCTTCATAATTCAAGTGCAGCCCGCAGTGTCCTTGCCTGTCCTTCCAGGGTTCGAAATCTCGGTCGGTCTCCCTTGCATTCCTAGACTCCTTTCGGGCACTTTTCACTCGTCAAAGGCCCTTCAATAGCCATCCTTAGCTGCCTCCACGAGCAACGTGAGAGCAGGTTCGGGATCGTCGGATGATCATCTTGGGATACAGAATCTTGATGTCGTTGACAAGCATCATCTTGGACGCAAATGATCCTTCGGTGATTCGCTTGAAGGGCAAACATGTGCAAACAAATGTCTTGCCAAGCCATAGAGATGGCAAAGGCCACTCCATTCAATCACCTGCGTCAGGAATTCAGCTATGTCCTGTGGCCCCGACTCCTTCACACCATCCTCCAAAAGTGAAGAGGACCATGAGCTTGCGGTCAAAGAGACATCGATCTTGAACGAAGAGGATTGGAGCACGCTTGGACTGATCTGTGAGTACGTCGCCCGTTCGTAAACTCATGAAACAATACAACTGACAACTGGCGTTAATTCGTCTGGCTAACCATCTTCGATGTGAAACAGCGTCCCATCCATCCATCCATCTCTCAAATCCTTGCGTCACCAGCACCGCCAACTCTCCCCAAAGCGCTCCAAAAACAAGCACTTTGGCCCAAAGTTAGTGCCACGTAATTCCACCAAATACCTTTGTTCGCACATATTCATGGAATTTCAGCCGGCGGGTTTTCGTAGTATATGCCGTGCATGTAAGTTACCCAACATCACAGGTATATAGCTGCTTCAATTCAGGAAAAGAAATGATTGAAACAACCATACTTCGGCGCATGTGTTTTCTTGATGTGTAGGAGGTGGCTTGAGCTGCCTTCTTGTGCCAAAAATCAAGCAGTATCAAACAGCTTTCGCACTGTGACGTGGGGCGTAGTTCTCGCGGCGATGCGGTAAATTCTTGTATTATGTGTATGTATATATGTGTATAAATTTATAAACATATCCATTTACATATGTACATGTTTTAGTTACACATATATGTATATAATATAACATGTGGCAGCTTCTTCCTGAAGCCCTTACCGCCTAAGGGTGAGAGACACACATGCAGCTGCGTTCCCAAACACTCCCCGCGGGAAATGGTCCTTCACAGTGAAACTCCTCTCCAACTCTCCTGAGCGGCTTCAAAAACCGCCTATACTTTTGTGTATACTCCAGGTTTGCTTTCGCAGAGCTTTCGCGACCTGCGTTTTGGGTTTCGCGGAATCGTTTTCGATTGGAAAAATCGATTGGGGTACAAGCAAGTAAGAAATCCGACTTTCGCGAAAGCTTTCGCAACACTGGTTCATATCGAGGCTTTTGCGGGGCTTTTGCAAACCTTTCGCGTATTGACTTCCGCGAAAGCATGTGAGTTGACAGTTAGTATACTTTTCATCATAGAGGTTTTTGAAGTTGCTCTCCTGGGAACGATGGGCATAGCACTCCGCTTGAAAGCAGACCTTTGCCCATCAAACATCATCAAACAAGTAACTTTGGATTTCGAACTTTGGATTTTGTCTTGGATGTTCTAAGTGCACATGCCCTAGAATGGGTCGGCTACCATCGGTGGCCTACAAGTTTTTCTATGCAGCCGCAGGTTGGTGACAAGGTCCTCCCTATTGCTGCTACTTTCCTTCCCCCATCTTCGGCAGTACTCTAGAGAAATCCTAACTAGATCTTGCAATGTGAAGAGATCTTAGGCGTAAGGGGTACGGGTAGAGTTGGAGCAACAGTGCCATGTCAAGAGATTGTCCAAGGACTTCTTCTAGACTCCAGACATCATTAAAATAAACACATTTTTCTTGCAGGCGTCTGTCAGAAAGATTCTCTGTGAAGACCGTAAAGATACAGTGATCTCATTGGGGATACTGTGCGAAGAACGTGAAGCAATCTTCTAAGAGGTCTTGTAAAGAACCAAGGTCTTAAAGTGATGCAGCAGGGATCCTATGAAGATATCTGGTAAGAGATCCCGTCAAGGAGTTTGTGCAGACCTTGTGAGGGTCACAAAGATGTGCCTTTTTGAGACCTTCTACAACTCTGCGAATACCCTAGAGGGGGATGGCGCAAAGATCGAGTACTGTAAAGTTAAGACCGTGCACGGAAGGAGCTGCTAGCAAGAACCTCCTTTTAAAGATGTTGCACAAAAATGTACAAAGACATCATAGAGGAAGCCTGTATACAATAGGAGATGCCAAAGACTTTTGCAGGTCTCTGGCTCATGAAGCTCTGCCTGAAGCAAATGACAAGGAGCAAATGCCTCTGACCACGCTTTTCAACCGAGTGAGTGAAGCCAATGCACAACCTTTTTTGTCACAGCCGGACTTCAGAGATTCTGCCACGGTTCTTCGGACACTGAATTTCGTGATCGCATCATTCGGAACTCACGCCAATCGGTCAATTTTGTGGCAAGAGCTTGGCGTTCTGGTTCGAAGTACTGTGTTGAAGAATTTGGTTCATTGTCAAATTTACAAATTTACAAACGAGTGGCGGGATTGCGGGATTCATGTTGGCCGACACAGTTGTTCGAGGCAGTGTGTTTTCACTTGTGCCGGCATCTGGCCACCAGACGGGTCCAAAGCCATGTCAACCTAGATCGTTCAATGTTTGTTGAGAAGGACAGTGCTCTCAAGGCTTTGTCAGAACTGAAGGAGACCTGAATATCAAGCGTTTTCTCATGTCAACAGCAACTAACCACGGCCAAATCTTGGCTGTGGCTGTGGAGGATTTGGGATATATAATGCTGGTGGTGAGGTACGCTTTGTACTTGTGATGCAGTGCGCTTTTTGGTGACTTCAGCCAGCTGAGTTTTCGTGGTCAAACAAACCAACATGACATGCCCCTGCGCCACCGTATCTGGGAGCTTAACGCAGAATGGTGCGGAATCTTGTCCTCTCTCCATCACACTTATCACCTCGTCCAGGGTAGGAAGGCATGCGACAAAACGTATGCGAAAAGTATGAGTAGTATTGAAATCCATACTGAATTGAACAGGTTCCGTAATCAATTATACAAGATTGTGCGATCAAAGCGAGACATGCACTCTTGGGCCCTTGCAAATTCCCCAATCTTCCCATTGCCCAACTTCACAGTCAGTGGGTTGGTCCCCACCATGGCACAAGTGACGGTTCTGAGTGAGAAAGTGAAAACAAGGCAGCCAAGCTTCTAGTTAGTAGACAATTACTAGTAGCGATGGCCTCCACCTAGTAGCTTCTTGCTACTACGGAAAAGAATAGGTTGGAGGCTTTTGAGGCTACTTTCTTGGCCGGATATTCTGCCTAAGGCTTCTGCACATTCCTGGACTTCGGACAGCGCAGCCAAACAGCCACGGCCACCGTGCGAAGCACCTCAGCAACAAAAAAACCTAGCTGCGGACATTTGCTTCCAGTGAGAAAACGCTGATTGCGATTCCATGGCCTATGCTTTAGCACAGCTTGTCCACATCAGCTTGGCGTGTTGTCAACAGCCCTTGTGGTCCTTTCGGGTACTGCGGTGACAATGAAGAGTTTATACGGTAGGAACAAAAGAGCGGTGTCTAATTGAGGCAACCGACGCACGCTGGCGGTTTCGATCCATGCGCATTTTTGGACTTGGGGTGTCCGTCTCGTGCCGGACGCTGCAGATTCTACGTGTTTCGACCCGGTCTTGAGGCGACTTCGCGGCAAACGCAGGAGATCGGAGGGGTTTGACTTGGATGGGCACGTGGCACGCGAAGAGCATCGTGTCATTTCTCAGCCGCCGCTGATTGTTGAAATTTGGAGACGGTGTCGCAGGAAAGCTTCGATCTGATATCTGCATGGCACACGCAGCGCTTTGCGGACTCGATGTCAATGTGCAACTTGCAACTCCTGAAGCAGCAGCAAACGCAGCCGCAGCCGCCGCAGCCGCCAGCCCGCCAGCCAGTCAGCATGCATGCAGCACGCAGCACGCAGCGCGCAGCGCGCAGCACGCAGCACGCAGCACGCAGCAGGCAGCAGGCAGCAGGCAGCAGACAGCAGGCAGCAGCAGCAGCAGTAGCAGAAAGAGCAGTGTCATTGGCCAAGGGGAAGCATGTTCGAGTATGAGTAAAGGCGGTATGTCAGGATATGTTGGGGGTGAGCGGAATGAGTAGTTGCGCCAGTGAAGCTTGCCATTGCTCAGCTGCATCGGTGGTGCAATTACGTCTGTGATGTCGCTGTGCCATGCGCTTTGGCGAGGTCATCGAAAGGGCAGGACACCAAAAGAAACAATGATGACTGCCTTCGGTGAACGTGAATTAATCTGATGTGACTTCTGATGTGTTTGAATGTGTTTGACGATGCTTGTGGTTGCTTTTTTGGAGCAGCATAGCACATGCAACGTAAGGGCCGTAAGGGCCTGAAGAATTAGACTTGTAACTTGAAAAAGCAGCGTACGAAGACATCGTGTAGCTTGAAATGGAATGCGCCAAAAGCTGGGCAAAGAGGGCGTCTGCCGCGAAGCAACATGAGTCACACCCGACAAAACTTATCAAATCTCTCGAATCCTAGCGTTTATCCGTCACATGTGTAACATTGTGTAACTAGAAGCTACTAGGTGAAGGTCATCTCATCATCTCTATTAGGTTGGAGGCCATCGCTACTAGTTACAAGAAAGCTCTGTGGTAACTAGAAACTTCCTTGGGAATCGTTTTACTTGGAATCGTTTCACCTGTAACCTTGAGACCAGAGACCGCCAAAAACCAACTTGGCTTGCCACGCTGATCCACAACTCGCGTGCGTCTCTGAACTCCACCATCACATCCAGAAGTGCAACTGCGACAACAAAAACAAGAACGGCAAAAGTGCTTCAAAAGGCTTCAGCAAAAGCCCACCATCAAGCACAGGTAGGCACATGTTCCCATAATTGTCCCTAATTGATCCCTTGATGTGTAGTGGCAAGATACGGCACGGGAAGTCCGTCACAACAAAGTGATGTTCAAAGCCAAGATCCAAAATGTTCCCAGTATAGGGGCATAAAGTGCATTTACGCCTGCTCCATCGTGTCCACCTGACAAGTGCCGGTTCGAAATTGACTGGTACTCTGCCAGAGTGAAAGTGTGCTGAGGAGAGGGCTCGCCCATCTCACAATCCACCGGGTCATCGACACTGCAACCCTCAAGTTGCCGCGCCGTAATCAAAGCTGGCAAAGAAACAAGAAAGGGGCAACATGTTCGAAAAGGATATTACCCGAAAGTTAGAACTTTGAGCTCCAAGCTTCAGGGCGTGGATCACCAAGCTGCGGTCGGCATGGACGGATCCTGGCGTCCGCTGAAGATCAGCAAGGTATTAATGTAAAGTAAGGATATGCTGCGGTGTGCTATGCATCAAGAGTTCAAACGCAATGTGCGCATGTTGAAGCCGAACGGAGAACTAAGCAATCCAACTCTTGCGTCTGAGGCATCTGAGGCACCGGGCTCTTTCAAAGCGCCCTGGCACCAACTACCATCACCAAGTCCATAGCGTTTGACCTCGACCAATAGGGGTCAATGAATTCATAAAGTTTGCTGTAGAACGCATGTCGAATTGCCTCAAAACTAAGTCCAAAACAGCCCGTAATCTTTCCTGAGTTCCTCAGCGCCAACCCTTCGCAAGGAAACTTGCATGCTTGGTGGGTGCGACTTTGAGCTTTAAACAGTGATTCTTGGCTCACCTTTATCATCATGTCCCAAGTATGTCCGAGGTCCGAAGCAAGTGGAAATAAACATAATACGTCATACGTCTGGAAAATTATCTCACCCGCATGACTCTCAGGTAAATATGTTGATATGGTGTCGTGTATATATATATATATATACACTATTATACATACTATTCTATACTATTGTATATGTATATTTTTCTCGAGTGTTGTGGCTTCAATCAATGCGCTTCGAAGACCTGTCAAACTTGCGGGAGGTACTTGTTATGACAACCCCCCCTTTGTGACGAACCATTTTCGCCGGCGTCAGCGTCAAGTGGTAGTATGAAACACACACGCACACACTTCGAACTTGGATTTTCAGTTAATGCAATCTCTCGAGGAAAAGAATGGCTCAAACGGTAAGGTGGAAAGTCAGCGCAATTGTAGATGTTTGAACAAATGGTTGTCAACAAAAGCGCACGGCGGCAAAGCGGCAAATCTGCTGCGAATCTGCGGTGGGAAAACCTGTTTGGGGGTGGTAGCATGAAGAACCATGGAAACAAAGAAACAGCGGCAGGGTGGACCAGTGGAGTCATTGTGTTGAAAGCAGGTACGCCAGACTGATCAGGTCTGGTTTCACTGCCAATTGCAAGCGTCTTCGTTGGCAGGAGACTTGCAATGGCACTCCTGCCCCCTGCTTGTGGAGCGAAGGTGGTGGAAAAACCCTTTGTCCAGGGTGGGACACACACAGATCGCCGCATTCGGCGCTTTTTTCAAAAACCGGTGGCAGGCGTGGTAATCATGCCCCTTTCGGACATATAGGTTCACGAGTTCAGCCGCAGCAAGGTCAGCGCTGGAGGGTGGAAATGTGTATTTTTGAATAGTGTGAAGTCGTGATTGGAGGCCGGACAGAGCCAAGCGCCGGCTCCCGGCCGTGGTGGAGTCCCGGATTTTCCAGGGTTGTGAAGGTTGCATGTAGGTGATGGTGCGTTGTGGGAGGTCGATGTTGAAACCGAGGAGATGAAAGTCCTCCACCGGCTCGAGTTCCACTGGGTCGCCAAAGAAATTGTGGCGGATGAGGGTTTGGATAGCCGGGTGTTGAAGGAAATGTTCGTTGTGGACAATGAAGCGGTTGTCGACATAGCGATAGTAAGTAAAGTGGAGGTCTGTGTGTTGAAGTAGGTTGTTGTGGATCTGATGCCAGGAATGCTCAATGAGGGTGATGGCAACGTTGCATAGGGCGGGAGAGAGCTGGGATCCAATCCCGGCCCCTCGGATTTGTTTGTAAGTGTTGTTGCAAGCCCGGAAAATGCAGGTGTCGAGGGCAAAAGCCACAATGGTGGTAATGTCGGAAGTCTGGATGGTGCGTTGGGTGGGGTGTTTCTGATGGTGTCGGCCAATGTGTGAGTGGTGGAAGGGATTGCCATTGGCCTGGACATCCACCGTTAGGGTGTGTGTGGATTGCTGTTGCTGCCAGTGATGGACGAGGGAATGAACTGCGTCGATCAGCCGGTGCTGGGGAACGGAGTTGAAAAAGCCAACCAGGTCGTCGTTGGTGGCGTGTAGTGAGATGTCTGGTGGGGTTTGGGTGAGGTAACTGTGAAAGTGGTGCCAAAGCTGGGGAATGGACATTTGGCCTGGATGTTGAGGGCAGAGGTGTTGGAGAATGATGTCAAGGGCACGGCTGGTGATGCGTAGCAGGTTGCCACTGAGTGAGTGGAAGTATGAGATGATTGTACGGCCTTTTTTGCCAGTGCTTCTTCTCCTTGAGGTGGACAACCCCGTAGGGGATGTTGAGTCTTTTCGGAAGCCCCACTTGTAGCGAGTGCGCAGGATGGGGGGGACAGTGGCGGCTAGGTGGTCGTGGATGTTGGCGGCAGTGATGTAGGGAAGTGGTTCGAAAAGTTCGGGGGATTGCCAGGTGTTCAAGGCGCCAGTGAAATATTGGCGAGGGCAAAACAACCGAAGTTGTTGGAGCTCATGATCGGCATGGTGGAGCAATGTGTGTTTGCCCAAATGTTCTTGGAGCTGGCGAAGCAGGCGAGCTGTAAATCGGGGTTGTTGTTTGAGGTGTGTGTTGTGGAGGCGCCATTGGTGCTCAAGGAAAGGTTGTAGGTGTTGAACTAGGGATGGTGGGAGCCCCTGTAGTTTGAGCCATTTGGTGTAGGCCGTCTTGAAGATGAGGAAATAGCGAGCCTTGCTGGGGTAATAGGTACTGTTCATGCTGGCGTTGAGGAAAATGCTGAGGTGCGTAGGGAGTTGGAGTTGATCAAGTGTGAGGATGTAATGGCCATTGACGGTAGGGGTCTCTGGATCCTGCAGGAGGGTGCGAAGGTGATCGCATGCACAGGGGAGGTCTGCCGGGTTTGGCGGGGAATGGAGGGTGTCCTCCCATGTGCGGTGGTTGTGTAGGTGAGAGCGCAGGGTTTTGTGGGCGGCCTCCCTCAGTCTGTGTGAGGGGAGGTGGAGGGGTATTGTGAATTGCTTGTGTTGCTGGATGGTAGTGCGAAGCCATTGTTGGCAGTGCTTGGGAAAGTCGTCATGGGCCAAGAAGGGCACCGTCAATGGGATGTTTGGCTTTGGTGGTGTAAGGTTGCGGTAGATCAAGGCTTTGTTGAGAATGTGGAGGGCTCGGCTGCGGCCAGGTTCTTCCAAATTCGCGGCCATGCGCCGTATTGCGTACACCTCGAGGTCTGTGTGGCGGCCGCTTCTTAGCTGCTTTGCTGCCTCAAAAGAGGCTGCTGTGTGTTTGGTGAGGTTGCGAAGGATTTGGAGGGCGTGATGCTTCGTAGAAGTGTAAAGGTGTGGTTCTCTGAGGGTGTGCTGGCGTTGGCGAAGGCGTCGGAAAAGTCTTTTGTGTGTGGCTAGCCTGGAGTAGAAGTGGGCTCTGTGCTTCGAAAACTGCCATCCCTGAGCTTTGAGTTTGAGGTGGTGGGAAATGAAAGGCCAGTTGAGTGAAGGCATCCAGTTGGCGATGTAGTGGTGCTCTTGAATCCAGGCTTGGTCGTAAGTGTCATGGGAGGTGAGTTGGATAGTGGTGTAGTGGTGGATGTTGTTGTGGGAATGCCAATAGCGTAAAGAGAGTTCTGCAGAAATGGGAATGTTGTTTTGAAGTTGTTTGAGTTTGGCACGGCGATTGTGTTCACGGTGGGGGATGCCGATAGCTGTGGAGCCGACGTAGAAGTGGCCGTGTTGGTGGTAGCAGCGTTGGGGTTGGTCTGGATTGAAGTGGAGCTTGATGTAGACAGAATTGGAAGAGAGGAAGTTGTGGTAGTGGTAGGTGTGTGGTAAAATGTGGAGCTGGCGGAGGCGGTTGCGCCATTGTTGTGAGCGACGGGTGTTGGAGGGATATGCGAAAAGTAGCGTGATATGGATGAGGCCGGTTGCAAAAATAGCCTCGGCGCGGTCAATGTATTGGGTGCGGTGGATCAGGATGGAAAGTGTGCGGTGCAGGTGGAAGAGTTGGGTGAGGTTGGTGTGGCTGGGTTGCTGCTGGGCCACGATGGCGAGTCAGCAGCCAATGGCTGCTCCTACTCCCACCAGCTGTTGTAGGCTGCGAATGGGGAGTCGATTGACTCGGTTGAGGGGTAGGCCGTATTTGGTGGCTGCCTCTTTTAGCTGCTGCGTGGTGACCTTGCTGGTTTGCAGCAGTCGGATAATGTCTGTCGCAGCTTCTTGGATGGTGGGGTCGAAAGTAGTGACCCATTGTTGGATCTCAGGGTAGTTCCAGCCTTCGGGGATGTCGTCTTGCAGAGTGGGGTGTGGCGGTTGCAAGACGTCGGTGATGGCTGGTGGTTTCGGTGGGGGTGGTGTGGGTGCGTGGGAAGGGGCAGCTGGTGCGGAAGATCGGCCGGTGTTCTTGACTGGTGTGAGTGGGTTGCCCAGATCCTGGAGTTTCTGACGTGCACGAGCCAGTTCGTCGTTGGTGGTCTTGAGGGCGCGTAGGGCGGAGCCTTCCGCAGGTGCTGGGGAGTGGGTTTGCAATTGGTCGATAAGCAGTTTGATGAGGGGAGCATGAAAAGCTCGAGCGTGGGTAGTTTTGTTGGGAACGTCTGTGCTGTGTTGTCTGTGGAGAGCGTCCGCGATGCCATCAAGGTCAAGGCGGTGCTCGCGGAGTTGTTGGAGAAAAAGGGTTACGAAGACCGACTCCGCTATGCTTCTGGTGGCAATGAAACCTGTGAATTTGCCGTTGCTCAGTGTGCGGGCGGTGAACTCAGAGGTACCGTGGTAGGCCAATTGCCACGGGAAGACCTCAAATGTGGGGAGGCCGGCCACTCCTGCTTTGCGAGACCACTGGGTGGGTTGGATTGTACGATGTAGTTGATGGCCGTGCAGGGTGTTGGAATCCCAATGTTGCTCGGTGGGGTTCCAGGAATCAGGAACCGGTGGTGTGGGTGATGGGATGTGGGGGGGAGGCGGCGGCGGTGGGGCGTGCGCTGTGGTGCCACGTGTTGTAGTTGGTGGCGGGGGGCTGTGTTTGAAGGTCGATGGTGGTGGAGTGACAGGCTCGGCCGTGGGCAGGGATGGCGGCGGCGGAGGTGGAAAATCTGGCTGGGAGTTGGATGCCTGGGATGGGGGTGTTTGCTGCGATGGCGGTGTGTACGGTGGAGTCACATAAGGGTTGGAGTGGTGGACGTGGTGTGTGCGAAGTGCGTGAGTGAGTGGGCCGTAGGTGCCGGTGGGGCTGTATGTGTGATGGGCAGTGGTAGGAGGAGAAGTTGTGGTATCTGGGTTGTTGAGCTGCTGATGGTGTTGCTGCATCAAATAATGGTTCCAGTAGTATTGCTGCCACTGCGGGTCCATGGTGGCGGAGCGAAGGATCACTGGATCGTGGGAGTGGATCACCGGTTGTTGATTTGAGCAAGCTGAAAATGTGAAACCGGTGCAAGACAGTAATGTGGGAAAGCAAGGGTGGTGCTGAAGCGGTCATGCTGCTGGAAAAACTGGTGT